TGAAACATAAACTTTTGGCTTAAAGTTATACTGACAGATAAAATAACATACATTAGTATCTTTTTGTAAGATGAGGGATGTAGGAAGCAGAAGTTCTTCACATCTAAAACTTTATGATTCTCGGCAGGTTCTGTCTCTATAAGTACAATTAAAAAATGAATTTGCAGTCTATTTTGAAATTATGAAACAAATTTGTAAGTGTGCCAATGAAGTGATTAAATTACTATTGGGAAAGAGTTCTGATGTCAGTTTTTTTTTTTCTGTTTCTAACCATCAGATATGTGATGGTGATTATAAATCTGTTGTTTAGTTCCATTAGCCAGCCTCTTGTAGGGTTCACGCGTGTACCCCCGTGGTGATGAACAGGATGGACTAACACAATGCGAGCCTCTTGTTTGGTACCAAACAGTATCTGCAAGATAATAGAAAGGGCAGGGAATTCAACAGGAAGTTTCACAGCATCAGAGACTGCCACATGGTATGTGTTTTATTTTTGATCACCCGGCAGAGACAATAGATACTATGGATATGCAGGATGAGAAATCACTTTGGGCTGGCATGCCTAAGGACACTTCATGAGAAAGATAAGACTTGAGCAGAAACTTAATGAATTGCAAAGAGGTAGACTAGACGGGCTTGTGGGAAGAAGGGGGCTCAACAGAGAGAGGTAAACACAGAAGGAGATGGCAAAGCAAGGGATGTGTGTATGTAGAGAGATCACCAAATATTGTGGTTGGACAGAAGGGTTAAGAATTTTATTTCTAAACAAAAGATAGAACCCCGAATTTATGCAACAGTCAACATATTCACAGGAGATAATACATGCGATAGTGATCTCAGCAGGCACTGGCATCTAAAGCGGGAGTGGTGTTCAGGGTTATACGGATGTTTGGAGTGAGCCTCAGAGGAGGAGGGCGCTGTCTGCATGAGGGAAGAGAAACAGTAATCTGCAGAAACAGTGGGAAATGCGGAACTTGCTGATCCATCGTCCCAAGCTTGTAGCACATGGGGCACAGGATTGGGAAGGCTCTACTTGGAGAAGCTCTCTGGGTGTAGGCAGTCCTCAGAGAAGTGCCAGTTTTCAGTAAAGGCTAGAAGGGGAAAGGAATAATCGTGGAATTAAGAGAACTGGCCCACCGACATGGAATTCCAGGGAGCACTGAAGAAATGTTAGGAAGAGAAGGACATTGTAGAAATCTGGATGAGAAAAGAGGCAGCTCAGAACAAGATGAAGATAAAATATTGAAAAAGGTGAGATGATCAGAACACAAGGGGCAAGGGAGGTGAGCAGGATGGGTTTAGCTGGCCATAAGTTGTCAGAGTTAGACCTAGGGGTCCCCTGGTGAGTTCATAGGGGGTGACCCTCAGGCCTGTCCAGGGTCAGCGCTGTCTGGGGACACTGCCCTTCCGAGAAAGAATCTCCAAGGAGTGGGAACAGTCCAGCCTTTTTGAAAAGTCACCAGAAGCTGGATTAGACTGTATCTTCTGAGAACAGGCTAGCTGTCTTTGAGATTTTTCACATTATCCATAAGTAGAACAAGGCTCTCTGCACTGTTTTGAATAGGACTTAGGATCCAGCACCTGCTGCTCACAGTCATCACCAAGACATGAAATGAAGAAGGAATGAAAATCTTTTCTGGAAACTTTGCAAAAAACATCTCTGAGACCTTCCTGAGAATTGAGACGGCTTCATCTTTAAGGACCAGCCGCTGGAGAAGTGACTGTAATTCCTGGAAATACCAAATCAATGATGAGTCAGTAGAACAGAAGTAATTCAGGCTTAAAGTGATTTTTGCGGCTATTTTAAGTTCATTTCCTTTTTTGTGATCAAGAGAATGGCTGCCTTCTCAAAACTGTTAAGTTGTAGCAAAAAGGCAATGACTGCCAAGAGCGGTTTCCTCTGCTGTCTATCCCATAATGATCATTGCAGAAAACAGGTCCCACTCGGTGCTCCCTGCTTTCAATTGGGTTCCTGGCTGAGTGGAGCAGAGATAGCCCTCACATCGTGGCTCTTTCTTCCACCACTTCCAACACCAGATATCAGTGAAATGCTTCCCCATGTGTAGGACCAAGCCTGGGTTTAACACAGGGGATAGATTTTGTGAGGCCACTCTTCCAGTTTCCCTCTGACCAGAAGCAGAAATGGTAACTCAGGTGCTGTAGAGTGCTCACAAAGTCTGAAGTCAGAGATGCTTTACTCATCTGTTACTGTCACAGATTTGCTTTGAGCTCACTCCTAAAATTATTTAAAATCCTTCTCTGCTCTCTTTCATATGGTCCATGATTAAATTATCCAAGTTAAGCAGCCAAAAGCAATCAAAAATGATGGAAATAAAGACAAGAAATGGTTTTATTTACAATGCAAATGATCTGGTTCACTCTCAAATAAAAGAACAAATCAAATTAGCTGCTCTTCACATCGAGAGGAAGGCACTGTACAGACCCACTGGCACTTATCAGAGCTGGGTTCTCCAGCGGCTCTTGGCTCTGAGGAGGGCTTCAGACAAATTTCACCATAGCAAGGGTTTAATTCATGGCATGTAATTGGAGTGAAAAAATATTGAATGCAGTGGAAACGTACTCCATTACAACATGACAAAATGCAAGTGCCAAATGGCTGTCAGAATGTCTCAGTGTACAAATGACAAGTCCCCAGGGGAGATGATGCAAGTAACAAGGACAGCATTTATTAGCACTTCTACAACCTTGGATGCTCAAAGAACGGCTGTTTCACCTAATTCAATGTTTTCCCCTCCAGCGGGAAGATGGGCACAGCAAGAATTGCTCATAGGAAGAGGCTGGCGTGAGAGGTTAGGTGAGGGATAGAATACCCTCTCCCTCCTGGTCATTTTTTCCACCTTGGTGCCACATGTTTCCTCCCTGGAATTTCTCAGAAATGCTGACCATCACTCAACGCTTCATCTTGCTTGTAATAAGGTCCCTGTATGTTCTCTTATGTCTCTCTTACAGCTTAACAACTTGACTTGCTCGTTGCACCGGCTGTCTTGAAGCAAGAATATAAACATACAGGGCTCTGATAGCCAGAATATCAAGGAGCTGATAAAGTCATGGGAGAATAGTGGGCAAAGAGAAGACAGAGATCCAGTTTCATAAGGAAAACACCTCAAAGTAAAATAGTTCCCTAAAGAAAAAAGTCCTCTTTTGCAACCTAGGGATGTTCTTCAGTTGACTGAAATCTCTATCTCCTAGCAAATCAGCAAGCACATCAAAGTAAGGTGCTGTGGTTTTCTGTGCAGCAGGAGGGTTCCTACTTTGGCTCACAGGGTAGGAGTCGCATACCAGAAGGTGGTGATCTCGCACCTTTTACTGCAGTTGAGCCCGCCAAGAAGCTTGGATGTGAGGGTCCTGAATGGAGTCCAGCCTTTGGGAATTGCAGTCAAGTGATAACTCCAAGCAATGACTGTGCCTGGATAGAGCCCCGTCTTCCTGGTGCTGAGCTCAGTGCCAGGCACGTAGTAGGTGTTAGTAGGATCTTTAATGAGAGAGAGACGGCTAAGATCCTAAAACCCTGAATCCTCCACTGTCTGCCCACTATCTTCACAGTTTCTCAGGGAAGCAAGCTGATGGGACCCTCTGGGAAAATTAACACTCTATTACAAGCCAAGGTCTTGGCCCTAAATTTCATGTAGCTTCCTGTTGAGAAAATGATTTGTTCATTATCTATGAAGAATCTGTTATCCAGAAGAGAAGTCGGGGAGGGAAGTTGTTGACAGTCTCCCCATCCTTAACCTCTCCTTGAAGCTTCATTCACAAGGTCTTATCACTCACCAGCTGGGAGGGTACTTTCTCCCAAGTGGCTGACACCACCATTTTCCTACTGCAAGAAAAAGAGACAATCCAAAGAAAATTTCCCTAAAGTGGAGTTCCACCAAAGCCAAAGTAGTTTTTACTAACTTTGTTCCTTTGCACCAATCTCTAGTGAGCTTGCTTAAGGTTTTAATCTTTCACCTTCATCCAAATTTTTGTCAATGTGGAGTAAGCAGTTGGGCAAATGGTCTACCTCGAACTCTTGTTTTGCATGAATCAATGAGGCAAAACAGAAACTCTGCCTCTGCACATCAGTCTCTCTCCAGATTTCAAGTTTGTGTCTGTACTGGCAGAGCATCTCCAAGCTACTGTTAATACAGTATCCCAGCTAGCCAATCTGGTGTGATTCTTCCAATAATTACACTAAGTGCTGGTAATTCACAAAATAATTTGGATCATTCAAACTGCAGTGACTGAACAGTTCATTTCAATCCTGGTTGTATTTGAGGATTCCTGACAAGCATTACTTTTGATAAACTCTATATTAATATTATTTTAAAGAATCAAACACCTTACAGTACATCTCAATTATCTTATTATTATAGAATGGGAGTCTCTCTTGGTGGTCTAAAATATGTTTATCCTAGGATTCAGTCACTCCCAGTTTTGCATGAAAATATTGGAGGAGATGTAGTTAATTTTAAAGATGATATAATGTAGTCAATCTAAAAGACGAGAAAGCCTACGCAAAAATCCTGTTTCAACAACAGCACAACAGCACAGGTAGCTTAATGAGAAGCAGGAGCAACTGAAGATGTAGCTAGAATTAAAAAAAAAAAACTGTGATGGAATCCTTAGGGAGTAGAGAGAAAATTATTGATGAATACATATGAGAAACCCTAGGGGAACTCTCAGAAGTGGCTGGGAAAATTTTGAATACTAGATGCAATGCCTAAAAAATTAATTTGGTTATTCTTATGGGGACGCTCTGTAGTCTCGAAAGAGGAGGTAACAAAGAATCACATCACAGAAAGGAAATGTCAAGGTCAAGGTCAAGTTCACCAAGTGCAATGTTTTCATGTTAAAAATAGCAAACTAGAAGTTTTTAGAGAAGGAAAGTCTCTTAAAGGATCATCTGATCTTACAATTCTCTGCAATTTACAAATGAGAAAACTGAAGCAGAAGAAGGTGAAGTGGCTTGCTGGAGGTTACAGGCTGTATTTGGAAGCATCACCACCCAGCCCTGGAAGGAAGTATGTCTACTTACAGGGATTCAAAGATTGATAACTGCAGTGTCCTGTCAGAGCAAAAGAACGACTTTTCAGCAAAGTATTTTTTTCATTCTGACTTCAGCTATTATCTAGTAACTTCACGACAAAAACATTTACTGAATTGAAGTATCTAAATGATAAAATTGAAAAAATTACTAAAACAAAAATTTGCTTGGATTCAACAAATTAATGTATAAAGTAAATGACGCTATTCTAGAGAGTATGCATATTCATTTAACACACATTCGAAAAGTATTATAAGGAAGAAACATTTGGCTTCCAGTCCTTCAGAGGCAGATCATTTTAACTAGAATGATCAGGTTTGGGCAAAAAACAAAACAAAACAAAACAAAACAAAACAAAACAAAACAAAACTACAATACAGGGCAGGAAATGTCAAGGGCTACATGAGATACATGAAAGAAGTGGCATAAGATTGGTGATTATGGAAATTCACTTCTGGATGCAGGGATTGGAGAAGGCACCACGGAGAACACATAAATGAGAAAGGACATTGGCTAACAGGTGAAATGTTGTTACCTAACCAAACTTGGGCTGCCCACCTGATGCACAACAAAGCTAATCTTCTGACACCGCCAGGTTGTGGTGAGCAAAAGTACAGCGTTTATCACAGGGTGCCAAGCAAGGAGAATGTGCAGCTCTTGCTCAAAATAATCCAAACTCCCCAATGGCTTTCAAGGAAGGGTTTTTAAAGCAGCATTAAGGGTAAGGTTTGCAGGATGCCCGATCAGCTTGTGGATATTCATCTGATCTGGTGGTGGTGAGGTAACAGGGTGGTATTTTGGGAGTCAACGTCACCAACCTTCTGATCCCAACCAGTCTGGGGTCGACATGCTTGTGTCAACTTCCATCTGGTGGGGTTTCAGTATCTGCAAAATAACTCAGTGATATGGCCCAGAATATTATCGATAGTCCTCAAGGGGGAATTTAGAGTCCTTGACTTTATTAACTAAATTATTAAGCTAAACTATTCAACAAAATAAATTTTGTCTTGCTTGACTGCTTTCTTTTGTTCCTGCATTTTCTCACTTCTCTGATTAAATTTGTTCTTTGGAAGTCAGAGAAGGCCTAGGAGGCTAAAGCTTTTCTACAAACAAGAGGCAGAGGAAACAGGGGTCTGTCCCTGGGTTTCAATTTCAATGGATGAAAATATAAGAAGCAGGAGACATTATTTTCTGGCAGAAGAAATTAATTAAAAGAGGGAAAGAATAATAACAGGAAGAAAAATAAATTACCCTTTACTGAACATCTACTGTGTTACATATACGTGAATAAATTCCTCATGACAATCTTCAGAAGGACTGATTATTATTCCTATTTAACAGAAGAGAAAACTGAAGCTCAGGAAGTTAAAATAGCTTGCTCAAACTGGTACAGTCAGTCAGTCATCTGACTTTGGCTTTTTTTGACTCCAAGGCCTCAGCTATTACCTCCAAAGACTTTTAACTTTGGAAAGACTTCTTAAAATAAGAAAACCACAACTAGTATATCCAAGAGTCCTCAAGGAATCAGAATGGCTCAAGTTAGGTGTCAGTGCTGGTAAGTCAAGGGGAAAATAGGGATAAATGTGATTTGGTTAATTCCATGGCCAATATTGAAATCTCAGGTCTCCTAACTACTGGGCAAAGGTTCTGTCCATTAAATATTTTTCCGCTATTAAAACCCAAGAGAGTTAGAAAAATGCAAAAGGTCAATTCTAAATACATTTCCTTAATAAACATGTATTTAGAATTGCTACCTTTAAAAAAGTGCTTGAATCATCACATTCTGAATTTTAAGCCAATATGGATGTGTGGAAAAGCTTAATACTATTTAAATGTTTTTTTTTTGAAAATTAAATATGTGTGAAAACTGGCTCCTGCTTCCCAGTGGCCTCCCACAGTATTCATCCAAAAAATATTGGAAGCAATTTCATTTGCCTTATTCTTGTGTAATGAGCCGCATTTGCCATACATGTGCTCAAGGGACCAGGGGGCAGCATCAACATCCTGTAAGTGAGAAAATTTTGTGTGCAGCCACCTTCCAAGAAAAGACCTATTTTCCCTGCTAGAGATTCATCTCTAAAGCCATCAAAATGCTAAGCTGAATCTCCCACAGGCGATACCTCTTACATTTTCCAGCTCTTGAATTTTGTCTCTGACATTTCCCTTTAGTTGAGATGAAAAGCCAGTTGACCATCTGGAGACCCTACATTAAGGTTAATCATTATTCTTTGTTTTTACTGCTGGTGCTATTTGGGAGGAAAACTTCCTGAATGACCAGGATGAATCTCCAAGGGGATCAGTGGCGTCTCCTTATCTGAGTGTCAAGAAAAAGACAGACAACCATCTTTCTGGTTTGGTTAAAGAGCAGCATTTCCCAGAGGCCAGATGGCCCTCCAG